CCTTAATCCTACAGGCCCATAGGGCTGCTCGTCCCTAGAGAGATGACTGGGCTGTTTTAACCTGAAGGTCACTAACCCTCAGGTGAATGGATACGTTGAAAAGGAAAGTCCTTTTCTTTTTGACAGTATTTTGTTACACAGAGTAGTGAACAATGTAAATCAAGTGACCAGCCTGCCAGGCCTGGACTGCTTTTACTTGACTGCAAGTACTCAGTATGGCTCAGTCCTTGGATTGCAGCAGTGTAGATCCCCAGACTTGTGTAGAACTAACAGTGGCCAACCACTCACCAACCCCACTTTTTTTTTTTTTTTTTTTTCTTTCTTGCTTAACACTCCTCCTTTTTGACTTTTACACATTGCTGTTCTCTTCAAGCACATAGCATACATATTACATGTAAGCCATGGGCATATGCTGCACCTCTGGTGTTGGCGCAGCACCATGCTATGAAGAAACATATCTTGCCCACACCCCATGTGATATGACTTCCTCACTGTTTTCTACTGCTACAAACTGCCTATTTTTCCTTTTGCACTATATTTTTATCAGCCAGAGGCTGGTGGCTGCCTGGCTGCTCTACACTGAATCCTACCTCTGAGCTAAAGGCTGCAGGCTGCTTCTCTGTGCTAATAGGAACAGGAATAGGCCATTCAGCCCCTCAGGACTACTAGGGCTTTTTTTTTTTTAGTAGTTTATTTGGAACTGCTCCATTGTTCTAGATCATGACTGATCCTCAACAACTGCACTGTCTCCACTGCCCTTGGGTAACTAGAAATCTTATCTATCGCTTCTTGAACTTGCTTAATGACCTGGCATTTTCTATCCCAGAGGTTTATGGAAATTCAAAGTTTCAGCACCTACTCAGTCCTCCAATGGCTTGCCTTTTATTTTGAGATTGTCCTCCTTTGGTTCTGGATTCTAGGGCCAATGGAAGCATCCTTTCTCTATCTACCCATTCTAGCCCTTTACAAATTTTGAGATTCTGTGAGATTGCCTATTGTGCTTCTAAATTCCAGTTAATAAAGGTCCAGTCTCTTCAAATTCTCATCTTTTGACACTTCTGTCAACTGAGGTATCAGTCTGGTGAGCATTCGCTGCACTCCCTCTAACACAAATATATTCTTCCTCAGATAAAGGGACCAGAAGTATGTATACTACTCCCATGTGCATTCTCACCAATGTTCTAAATAATTGGAACAAGTGTTCTTTGCTTCCGTCTCATCCTTATGCAATATTTTAACCTTCCATTTGTTTGTTGCATATTCAACCTGCCTTTCAGTAACCTACAAACAAGAACACCAAGGTCCTTTTGGACATCAACGCTTCCTATTTCCCATGATTTAAGAGAGATTATGCAATTTCATTCCACTTACCAAAGTGAATGATGTCTCGCTTATCCATATTATATTCCATCTGTCATGTTCTTGCCCACTCAGTCAGCCTGTCCAATCCTTTTGAAACCTTTTTGTTGTCTCCTCTCAACTGTCATTCCCACCGGGTTTTTGTGACATCTGCATTTTCAAACTGGAAATATATATAGTTGGTCCCTACGTTCAAATATTTGATGTAGATTGTGAACAACTGGGACTTAGCACTGATCTTCATGTGATCTCACTTTTCAAAGCTTGCCAACCTGCAGATGATCCATTTATACCTCCCTCATTAACCAATCCTGAATCAATGTAGTATATTACTGCCAGTCTCATTCAGTTTAATTTTGTATAGTAACCAGTGTGGGAATTCTCCAAACTTTTTGAAAATCCAAATATATCACATCCACTGGTTCGCCCCTTATCAACTGTGCAAGTAGCATCTTCTCAAAATGTTAACAAGTTGGTCAAACTTGGTTTCCCCATCACAAATCCAAGCTGACTTTGCCAGTCAGACAATTATTTTCTAAATGTCCAGTAATCACATCAGCAATGCATCCTGGTATTGTCCCTGCTATTGATATCAGGCTGAATAGTCTATGATTCCCCGATTTCTCTTCCCCCACTTATCCCTTTCTTAAACAGTTGGATTGCATTTACAAATTTTCAAACACTGTTTGCAAAATTAATAGAATTTTGAAATGAATCCTCTTTCTGTAGCCATATCTTTGTCACCCTAGGGTGTTGAATCATTGCTTTGGGGATTTGTCAACTTTCAATCCCATTAATTTCTCTAATATTACCTTTTCACTATTAATAATTTCTTTGTATCTCACTGTCACTTGACTGTTGGATCTCAACCACAGGGTATTTCAGAGAAACTTATTTATCTTACTCTGTGAAGGCAGATATAAATTACTTTGCCATTTCTTCCTCTTCTCATTTTAAATTCTCCTGTCTGTCTGTAGTGGGCCTAAGTTCTTTTGCCATTTTTCTTTTGTACATATATATAGAAACATCTACAATCCACTTTTACATTTCTGTCAAGCTTGCATTCACTTTATTTTTTTTTCTCTTTATAAATTTCTTGGTTCTTTTTTTACTGAAATATAAAATTCTCCCAATCCTCAGACTTGCACCTCTTTTTGGATGAACATGGCTTGCCATGACATCAGATCTCTTGGCAGCAGTAGCTACAAGTAGCAGCAGCGGTAGATAATTTTATCAGCTGAGCTGGTATAATTTAATCTTGTTCAGATCATCGTGACTATAATATGTTGATTGACACTGTGACCACACAGCCCATTTAATTGTATTTGTATTCTACAATTTTTACATGAAAAATGCAAACATAATGAGCTGCCATGAATTTTAGCATTTCCAGGTCTGACTCTTCCTTTACTTAAGGCTTAATTATACTTGGTTCTAAATATTTCTTTACATTTAAATGTTTGTCCTGCCCCCCTCATACCCAACTGCAATATGAAGATAAGTTTATTAATCTAAAACTAACCCTGGAGTGTCTGTTCAGAGATCTAAAGGCTTATTAAATTATCATTGTTTTATTCATAATCTGGTCCTAACTATCTACTTCTGACTTCTTCACTAAATTTAGCAGTGTGACTTAATGATCATCTAATCAAATCTGCATTCATGGTATTCAGCATAATTTCCACCTTCAGTTCACCAATTCATTAGCGCTGGAATTCAGTACCTCCCCGTGAAGAAGAACCACGAGAACTTTTGATCTGTTAAGTTAGTTCTAATGTGGAGGTGATGGTGTTGGACTGGAGTGGACAAGGTCAGAAGTCACATGACACCAGGTTATAGTCCCAATCTCGAGCTTTCAGAGCGCTGCCACTTCATCAAGTGAAGTGTAGTAAGACACATAGGCACAGAATTTATAGCAGAGAGATCAAAAAATCATATGAATGGTGAGAGTGGAGTGTTCGTAGGTGAGTAAAGTGTCAACAGCTGAATAGCAAGTGAAGAGATGACCTATAATCCAGTTAATTGAGGCAGAGAGATAACACTTCAGCCTCAATTAATTGGATTATAGGTCATCTCTTTACTTGTTGTTCAGCTGTTGACAGAAGACGATAATCCAATTAATTGAGGCAAAGATAATTACAAAAAATTAAAAATAAGGTGGTGCTGGAGACAAACCAAATGGCTGGAATAACGTGATAGGTATAAGAGTCGCATGCCGAGGATCTTACCTAAGTAATCCAAAACTGTACAAACTAATTTTAAGGTAGAGTGATCATAACAAGTTATCAAGGTGATGGTGTCAATGTAAGGAATATTTTACAGACACCAAACAGTGTGGTAGAGCTACATGTAGCACGACGTGAACCCAAGATCACGGTTGAGGCTGTCTTGTGTACAGAACCTGGTATCAGTTTCTGCTTGGCAATTCTGTGTTGTGTATCTTAAAGGTCACCTTGGAGGATGCTTACCCAAAGATCGGAGGCTGCAGGTCCTTGACCGCTGAATTGTTATCTCTCTGCCTCAATTAACTGGATTGTACGTCATCCCTTCACTTATTATCAGGCTGTTGACACTTTCCTCACACCGTTTGACACTTTTGATCACCTGCGGAGACTTATTATTCAATCTGCCGACACTCCACTTCCACCATTCATGTGCTTTTTTGATCTCTCTGCTATAAGTTCTGTGCCTATGTGCCTCACTACACTTCACCTAAGGAGTAGCGCTCCAAAAGCTTGTGATTTCAAATAAACCTGTTGGACTATAACCTCATGTCATGTGACTTCTGACCAAATCAGTTCTTTGTTGAGATCTGGGCTGTAATGCTCAACACTTTAAGATTGCATTCCTGCTCACCACCTGGAAATAGCACCATAACTTGTGACTTGTCAGAAGACGTAAATGTTTGACTCTGAAGGAATATTTATAATGATGGTATAGCTTTCATCAGTCATGTGTCTTGGAATTTACTCAAATTGTGTCTACAGCTAGTTCAATACAGTAGAGATTGGATGAAGCTGATTAGAAAAGATACATTTGATATGTATTTGAACTATCTTGTATATACATGCGCTTGCTATTGTCATGGTTTTTGGTGCCCCAATTTTTGTCCATAATTATTTGAAATTGTTGATATTTTAAAATAAAAATCCTAAACAAATTTGATTATGGATGAGATAGTGAAGTGGATGGCAATTACCCTCCCAAATCAATTTCACTTTCCGATGTAAAATAGTGTCTGCAGAGTTGTAGTTGTTTGCTCCATTGAGTAGGTGGTGCAGGTAGAGTGAATTTCTAAGTATCTAAACATTGTTTGTTTATTTTAATAATCAAAATGGTGACAATAGACCAGTAATTTGCTGGTTGCATTACTTTTTAGTTTAAGGGCTGACTATATTTTCTTTTTGCTATTATTTGATTTGTTCATCCTTGTAGAAGTTTTCCAGGATCCCCTTTAATTGAATGCGAGACAAGTATTTTACCAGCCAGTTTCTAGTGATGCTGATAATTTCTGCTGTTGCTTTTCTGTTCCTCAAAAGTACTCCAGTACTTAATGTCACAACTGCTGAATGTTGTTTTTATTATTATATTAAAACAAACTGTTTCTTAAAACCTATTTCTATTCTCACTATCTACTGTAGATTGCTTGCATGTTGTTAGAGAATGGAGCAGACCCCAACGTTACAGATAATATCCACTCCACTCCCTTGCATAGAGCTTCAGCAAAAGGAAACTTCCGCCTTGTACAGCTCTTGCTGAAGCATAATGCCTCTACAAATCTCCAAGATTTAGAGGGAAACACACCATTGTAAGTACATCACTTTTTAAGAGCCATAGTTCATGTAGGATAGGGGTATTAACAAAATGAAAATCAAGAGTTAATCAAACAAGTTTTGGCCTCTCCAACTATATGTACATCACTAATGATTCAATAACAATTACTTAAAATTATTGACAAAGATCACAAGTTTCCGACTTTGTTTTAGCAGGTGTTTTGCATAAGATGTTGTAAAGTGTTCAGTTTTTGAGTGTGACGATGTAGTCACTTAAGATGTGGCATGGTTCTATTGCTTTAATTTTATGTTGTTCTGGGAACTTAAGTCATGGAAAATCAAATTTCCAGGATCCAATTTAAAAACACATTACAATGGTTCTAGGACCTATATTAGCAAAAGACCATTTTCCCCAACTGTTGGAATATCTTACATCTTTGTCCACCCTCTGACCCATGTAATTAACCGAGTAACACTGGAAAATCCATGAATCATATTTAAAACTGCTTGGCTAGGTGCACAGGCCTTTAAACTGTCAGCATGCACGCTGTCACTTACACTTGTAATACTTTGAAATTGCATGTTGCTTCTGCCTCAGGCTACAAGTTTGAAACCAATTTTGATCTCCCACATTTCTAATTAAATAGTAATGAAACTCAGAATAACCTAAACCTCTGTTTACCTAAGTATCTGATTTTTCTTGTTTATGGAAACTTTTTTTATTCATTCAACGGATGAATTGCTGGCTAGGCAAGTATTTATTTTCTAATTGCCCAGCGGGCGGTTAACAGTCAATCACATTGCTGTGGATCTGGAATTGTGTGTAGGCCAGACCAGGTATGCATGGCAGTTTTGTTGTCCAAAGTACGTTGGTGAGCCAGATGATTTTTCCCGACAATTGGCATTGGACTCTTAATTCAGATTTTTATTGAATTCAAATTTCATCGCCTGCTGTGGTGGGATTCAGACCAGGGTCCCCAGAACATTGCCTTTTAATATCTGCACTAACATCCCAGCGACAATACCATTAGGCCATTTCCTCCCCATTTCCAACTTTGAATAATATCAATGCCTTCTATGATGGAGTCCTTGTATCCTTATTAGATATTTTATCATATTTATCATGATCAATGCTAAATATATTCAATTAGTGTAATTTTACACTTTGGATGTCTATCATACCTAGGTTTCTAATAGCTCATGAGAAATAATACTTAAGAGTCATGGAGCTGTAGAGCACAGGAAACAGACCTTTCGGTCCAACTTGTCCATGCCGACTAGATATCCTAAATTAATCTAGTCCCATTTGCCAGCATTTGGCCCATATCCCTCTAAACCCCGCCTATTCATATACCCATCCAGATGCCTTTTAAATGTTATTTTACCAGCCTCCACCACTTCCTCTGGCAGCTCATTCCATGCACGTTCCACCCTCTGTGAAAAAGTTGCTCCTTAGGTCCCATTTAAAATCTTTCACCTCTCACCTTAAACCAAAGCCCTCTAGTTTTGGACTAACCAACCACAGGGAAAAGATGTTGACTATTTACCCTATCCATGCCCCTCATGATTTTATAAACTTCTATAAGGTCACCCCTCGGCCTCCCACATTCCAAGGAAATAACCCCAGCCTATTCAGCCTCTCCCTACAGTTCAAACCCTCCAACATTGACAACATCTTTCAAATCTGTTCTGAACCCTTTCAAGTTTCGCAACATCCTTCCTATATCAGGGAGGCTGGAACTGAACACTATTCCAGTAGTGGCCTAACCAATGTTCTGTACAGCTACAACATGGCCTCCCAACTCCTATACTTGTGGAATTTGTATTTTTTTAGGTGTAAAGCGCATTACCTAGAGAGGGAGACTTTTGGTTTCCGCTTTACTTTGTGTTTTGAGTAATCTTGTGAAATTTTGGAATTGGATGGCCGTGTAGATCAGTGCTCCCAATAAGGGAAAGATATACAGTGAACTACGTCATCTAAGACTGATGACCAAGACCACAAACGTTGGGATAAAAACCTGAAGAGGTTTCTTAATGCTGAATACATTTACTTTCAGGTATATGATAGCTCCAGGCGGAATCTACCTACAGTTCCAGTGTAAAAGTTGAAGTCGTCTGCAGTTCCAGAGAAAATGTTGAAGCCACAAGTGACTTAAACCTATTGAGGTGTTAGCTACAGGCACTCAAGTGTTTCATGATATTTTTGGGAACTGTACTGAGATATATTTTGGGTGCTATAGAAAAGCTGTATTGCTTTTCAATTGGTGAAAGATTGTTTTGGGATTAGTGGGAGTATGCTTTACTGTGTGTTTAAAAATGTCTGAATTTGTGCTATATGCAGAAGGTTTGGTTTATTTTATTTTATTTAACTTTTAATTCTTTTGCGAATTAACTTCTATTTTATTGTCAAGCAAAATCTGCAGTATTGCGTGCTTAAGTTTCAGTGAGGTTATTGTGCTAAAATCAAAACAAATCAAAATGTGATCTATTAAGCCAGGTTTTTCTCTGGGATCTGATTTATGCAGTAGTGACATCGGATGGCGTCATACCATTGTTAAACCCGGTCTTGCTTCTTCTAGACCAACAAATTGTCCAGTTGATTTTGCCTTCGACCTTTTCTTTTACGGAAAGCTGGCAGGGCTGCTCAGTCCCCTGTACAATGAAACAACGCATATATGACCATAAGATCATAAGACATAGGAGCAAAAATTAGGCCATTTGGCCCATCGAGTCTTCTCCACCATTCAATCATGGCTGATAAGTTCCTCAACCCCATTCTCCGCTTTCTCCCTGTAACCCTTTGTGCCCTTGATAATCAAGAACGTATCTGTCTCCATCTTAAATGTACTTAATGACTTGGCCTCCACAGCCTTCTGTGGCAGTGAATTCCACAGATTCACCACTCTCTGGCTGAAGAAGTTTCTCCTTATCTCCGTTCTAAAAGGTCTTCCCTTACTCGAAGTCTGGGCCCTCAAGTCCTAGTCTTTCCTACCAATGGAAGCATCTTCCCAACATCCACTCTGTCCAGGCCATTCAGTATTCTGAAAGTTTCATTTAGATCCCCCGTCATTTGTCTCATTGTTTCTGAAAACATTTCTCTCAAATAGTACTGTATAAAGGTTATGGCACAGGAACTGGCCGTTATCCAGCACAGATATGATGCTATAAATAAATTTTTAGCTGCTGATTGCAACCCAACTTTTCAGCACCTGGTCTGTACCCTTACAGGTCACAGCACTTCAGGGACAGATCCAGGTTCCTTTCAAATGAATTGAGGGTTTCCGCTTCAACCACAAATGGTGAATTTGAGACACCTACCATTTTCTAGGTGAAAACATTTTTCCTTGTGTCCACTCTCGCCCTTCTAACAATCACCTTAAATCTGTGCCCCTGCAAATTGACCTCTCTGAGAAAACCAGGCCTTCTGTGGTTACTCTATCCAAGCCTTAAATAATGTTGTACTGCTCAATTACTGCAGTCCTTGAGGTATAAGAACACCCAAAGTGCTGTAAAGAAGAGAGGTTCAGGACTTCGAGCCAATGACAATGAAGGAACAGCAATATATTTCCAAGTAAGGATAATATGTGACTTGAGAGGAATTTGCTGCTTTTGGCCTTTAAGGATAGACGTTTCTGGTTTGGAAGTTACTGTTGGAGGAGTCTTGGTGAGTTACTGCAGTAATCTTCTAGATAGTGCACAATGCTGCCACCAGGCGTCAGTGATGAAGAGAATGAATTTTTAAGGTTGGGCTTGGTATGCCAGTGAAGCAGGCTGCTTTGTCCTAGAAGGTGTTGAATTTCTTGTGTTGATGGAACTTGTCCAAGTAAAAGCTTATGGCTTCTACTACCTGAAAGAACAAGAGTAACACAAATTTGCAAATACCACCACCTAAAAATTCCTCTCCTCGTGATGTCACCCTGAATGAAATTACAGTGCCATTCCTTCATTCGGAGTCAAAAGTCTGGAACTTTCTCCTTAGTATCACCATGGTTGTTCCTAAACCACATGGACTACAGTGGTTCAAGGAGACAACTCGTCACCACCTTTTCAAGAGCAAATGGGAATAGGCAGAAAATGCTCTTCTTGCCGGCATTGCCCACATCCCATTAACAAATGGACAAATGATCCACTAGCACTAATAAAGCAGACCAAGAAGTAATCTTCATATTAGCTAATATTCAAACTTTGAATTAACATCATGAAAGCAAACTAACCGGTTATTTATACAACTTTGCTGTATAGAAATGAAATGAAAATTTGTGTACTGCTTTTGATCACATAACTGCAAAGATTATATTTCAAAATGGTTAATTTACTCAAATTCTTTGGGACTTTCTGCTATAAATCTGTGCTTTCATTCTAATATCAAACACGTGGTATAGCAGAGAAAAATTCCAGCACCCCATAGTCTCGAACCACAACTTGCTATGACAATCGTAACCTGGGTTGGTGGATAGTGGCGTTTTTGAGAGAACTGTGATCTCTTGCGCCAGAATGGTGAGGTTCCTCTGGTAATGGCCATTTAGCCTTGTTATTTTTGAGAACGATGTGGCATCAGAAACAAACAGTGAATACGTAGCAATAAAAACAAAATATTGCAAATGATAGAAATCTGAAATAAACTCAAAAGTGTTAGAAATACTCAGCAGGTGTGGTAAAGGGAAACAAAGAAATTTCAAGTTAAATATGTCTCTACATGTAACATCTGGCACTGCTGGACTCCTAGAAGGCTTGAATTATATGGGTTAAGGACTTTGGATTGGGTCCAGAAATTGCTGAGCTGGTCAGGGAAAATAGATGAGTGGGATAAAGGGAGAAGGAAGAATGGGTTGGGTGAGGGATCTGTCAATCATAATGAATAAGAGGTTTACTTTGCAGCTCTACATTCAGGTAAGTTACAGACAAATGTTTTTGCAGATGATTCCTTGAGCTAAATTTCCCAAGTGTATTCTGTGTAATAAGGTTATCACCAGCAAGGTACACCTTGATGACCACCCTCCATCTCCTGGTCCTTGGCTGTGAACAATTTCGACAATCCAGAATTCCAGTATCTGACCCCTTTAAATGGTTTAGTTAACTTTGGTAAAGTTGCTTTCCCAATAGGGAACTTTACTTCTATTCTCCATTATTTCCTACATAATAGCAAGAAGCTGTTTCTGGGAGAATTCCAATTTGTCTCCTACCTGTGTCTCAACAGAAGCTCTTTGTTTTGAGAGATATTGTGAATGGTGGTATAACTGCTGTTTGATACCTCAGTGAGTTTTTGTTGGGAGTTCCTCTCTCCATTGTAACCACATCACCAGGGCGTTTCTCTGAACTGAGGATTTTTTTTTTTAGCAGGAATTCATCTTCTCTCTCCCCAGTCCCCTTTTTTAATAATAAAATCTGTTCCATTTTGGGTTAAGGTACATCTTAAAACACAATTTTCTTGTAAAGTTCAGTGTTCATGATGCTATCGAAATTGTAGTTCTGCATGATTGGTGCTTCAGTTAATGTTTTAGATGGCATTTTAACATAAGATGACACTTAAAACAATGCCATTTTTTGTTTGAGGGAAGGAAACAAGAAACGTCAACAATTTTCAGCTATTATTTTTGTGAAATTGCCTGTAAATAAATTCCACAAGTTTCCTGCTATAGATGGAAACGATTGTTGCACTTATAACACTATCATCATGATAATTCTACATAGTGAGATAAAATTCAACTGAGAAACTCCATTCGAACGAATAGTGAACAGAAAGTGGTTTAACAGTGTTGCAAGTTTCAATTCAAGTTCTTTATTTATAGAGTAGTCATAGAGTATTCATATAGTAGTCTGGAACTAACTGCAACAGTAATGTGGGTGACTTGCCACGAGCTAGGCACAGTCCTTCTGTGGCACATTCATCGCAGTTTTTTGAAGAATTGACTAAAATGCACTCTGCGTTAAGCTGTACAGTTAATGTACAGTAAAGATCGAAGATTGTAACTGCTTTTGCAGATGGTCATTGAGTGAAGCTGTTATTTAGGAATATCTAAAGTTTACCCCCTTCACACATCAGCTCCAAATATTTTAAGGGGCGTTTCAGTCATTTGCACTGTAAATGTTTTATGTGACACGAGTTCAATTTTTTTTTTACAAAAATTGAATTGAAATGACCACCATGCAGCTATTTGCAGATAAAATGTGACATCGATGGCATTACACCCACTTGCTTAACAAGGCTAAAATTTTAACTAGAAAATGTCTGAAAGTGAGGAAAGTGAGTTTGAAGCTTTGTGAATATTGGTATGCCTACAAGTGATGAAAGCTTTTCACCTTTCCAATTATTAATACTATTTAATCATAATCTCTGAGAAATGTCAAAGATCTTCCAAGATTGACAAATACAAACGGTAATGCTGTTAACTTCAGTTTCTAATTGCACCTGTTGTATTCTTTTACTAGGAATAAATTTTTTTCATGTTCACCAGATGTCTGTATTATTGCTAATTGATTTTTAATGCGTGTAAGATTGTCAATGATAAAACATATGATTATAAACAAAACCAGCATTTATTTGGGTAATTTTTGGTCTCAATATTTCATTGAGCTTTGAAATTGATTTATAAGAATGGACTTGAGTACTCTTTCAGGTAGTTCTTTTTTGTGTACATCAAATAACTACTAAATTCAAGAGTCCATCTTGAATAACTAATTCACAATGCTGTCAGGTCTCCATTGTCATTATTGTTCAGTTGAAGAAGTAGAAACCTGAACACTAGCAAATTTGCTTTCACAATTTTCTCAAATTGGGTGTGGGAATGGAGCTGTGGTCATCTGGTGAGCAACAGTTTGGGCCAGAGTCTCCTTGGAGCAATACAAAAGTCCATGTATAATGACTGGGTCAAAGTAAATCACTTATGCCATGTGGTCATGTAATTCCTGCTACATCTTGATGGCATGCACCATGAATACTCCATTACTATTTTTGGCAACTTCAGGCTCTTGTTTTTTTGTTATTTTGATCAGCTCCAATATCCTGTTTGTGAATATGTTGCTGCATTATACAAGATCTGGTTCAGCCTGTGGTCTGTGCTGAGTAGCTAATCTCAGGTGGAGCAGTGATATCTTTGCCCTGAATATCTTCACAGCTCTGATAAAACCTGAGTGTTGCTGTTTAATGCAATGAAGATGGCTTATTTGTAAAATAGTAAAGATAAATAAGTTCTATGGCTAAATGATATCAGACAACAGATGCTTGTACTTGTTTGTTTAAACAGAATGTCTGAACATGAGCTGCATGAAGTGGCTGATCTTCCTCACCGTATTTGGATTTAATGTGACATTGATCTTTAATCTTTGAAACTCTTCTTTGCAGGCACTTGGCATGTGATGAAGAGCGGGCTGAAGAAGCCAAGCTTCTGGTGGAAAATGGAGCAAGCATTTACATTGAAAACAAGGAAGAAAAGACACCCTTGCAAATGGCTAAAGGTGGTCTTGGCTTACAGCTGAGGAGAATAATAGAGGGTTGAAAATGAACATTTGATTTATGATGCCAGCCTAAAATCTGGTATTTGCCTCAAAACGTGGAATATGATCAAGGTGGGGAAGCTGGATTCTGAGTGCTTGTATTGGTTGTGTACTGCATACTATCTCTCCAAGTATGTGCACAATGCATGTTGTTGCCTGCAACTCACGAAGTACATAGACTTGTCTGTGAATGAAGGTCTCTTTCCCATGGTCTCACTGATATAATATACTTTGATCTTAACAACCCTGCCAATATGAAGCAGGATTTGTACCATCAAGTGACCTGTCATTGATCACAGAATAACTTCTCTTTCATACTTTCAGTGCAGGGTCAAAACTACTCATTGATCGAGAACATTCAAAGAAGGCAGCAGTAGTCACTGTAAACAGATGGTTTAGGTTTAGGTGCGAAAGATGTCAATGGAAAACTAGAGATGTGAAAATATGAAGACAGAAGTGTGATTGGTAATGCTAACAAATCTCAGTCATAGGACGTGTTTTAAAATGTTATAATTAGTGACTGAAAATTTCTAAGGATTGTCATTGAATGATGAACATTCCAATTAAAATTATTTGAATCATTTTTCCACAGCCTATGTTATACTTTCCACACTAAATTTGCTGCTCAGAACTTCACACAATTTGCTTTGTATACATCCTCCCCCACTCCTCCCGCCTCCATTTTGAGATGTCACTGTTTGTTTTATGGATCAGCGATAAACCTGTTGCTTGTTAATATTGCTACACACAGTTGAGGAAAATATTATTTTGATGGATTCTATAAATGAATGACTTGAGACTAGCGGAATTCTAAGCAGATGAAGCAGTGTTCTTGTCCTTTATTGTTAGTTAACATTCAATTGAGTACAGTTATTGTTGATTGACTTGACTATCTTCATTTTGGGCTGGGATCCTCTTTGGCTCCTTTAGCAAGCTGGGACAGAAAAAGGATTAATCTGAGTATGGCAGTTACTTTAATAACCCATTATTTTCATCTTGTTGAGGACATTAAACACACTGTTTAATGCAATGGTTGATTGTCTTTGTCTTTGTCTTTTTTTTTTGCTGAATCTCGTGGTAGAATTTGAAGGACCTGTCTCATTTTGTTCTTTGCTTTCTAAGGATATAAAGATTCCGTGCAGCATTAACATTTCATGTTGATTTCGCATCTAGAAATATTTACTGCAGTATATTGTTTGTTTTAACGTTGTTGTGGAAACCAATAATGTTGAAATAAACACAACGTTGGAGAAAGTCATGTCTGGCAACATCTGTGGAGAGAAACAGTTAACCTTTTGATTCTGGTATGACTCTCCTTCAGAACTGAAAGGTGATGGAAAATAGATTCTTTTTTATATTATTGACAGGCAGAGGTGAAACATATTGCACAAAAGATGTAAATCATGGTGTGAAGGGTCCTGGATCATGGAGTCCTTGCAGTAGATTTGGTGTCAGGCTTGGATTAATGAGGAGGATACTCCTCTCCTGAGTCAGAAAGCTAAGTGTTCAAGTCCCACTCGAGACTTGGGCCTAAATGTAAGCTGGCACTCCAGTGGTGCATTGTTAGTTGTGCTATCCTTCATTAAGATATTAACACGAGACTTTGTGAATTTGCATTATTTTTATACTTTTTTTCTTATTTCTCCACTATTAGCAACTTTTTTTGCTTTGGGCCTCTATATTATGGTCACCTTACTCCTGTGCCTTTGTCAAAAGTATCAAAAAGTACCTATTTTCTAACACTTTTCAGTTCTGAAGAAGAGTCCATGTTTGAAGTGTTATCGGTTTTCTCTACAGATGATAGATTTTGAGCATTTGCAGTATTTTGCCTTTTGTGAAAAAGGATGTTATCTCTTACTAATTCCATTTTGGTTGAGTGAAAGGAAGTTATTGATGGAACATTTCGATGTGTAAATCAGTTGAAATAATAACAAAAAGTGCCAGAGATGCTTGGCAGATCTGGTGGTATTGTGCAGCAGTAAGATGAAATTTAATTGAAAGTGCTGCTTCTCTTCAAACCAACTGTTCAATGATGTGTCTTTGTTTGCTGGTTATAATTCCTGTAATAAAGATTTGTACACAATCATTTTTGTCTCTTTATATAAACAAGTCTTAACTCTTCCCATAACTATCTGAAATTAATTTTGTGGAACATGTTTAATAAGTAATCTGGTCATTCTTTGTTATCCCACAGTCTGTGCGCACACCAGACAGACTTTACTGGTTTTGTTTGGCTCTGGGGAAACTATGGTCTCAGCTCATTCACAAGACCTGTCTCTTGATGTGCTGCTGCCTTGCACTAAACGCTTATATTCCTTTATTTCAGAGATAGTAG